GGAACCTGCTGCCGCGCTGGGCAGGGCAGGGCAGGGGCGCGAAAGAAATTTGGGCAAACATGCTGCAAGCACACTGGCCTTTTCCACTTTGTGCACTGCTCGCTGGCCATCCCATTTGGGCTGTTGGCTCATCTGGAGAAGTCGAAGCCTCCCACAAAAAATATTAAAAAAACAAAGAGAAAAAGAAGAAAACGCAACACGGTGGGCCACAACTATTGGTTGAAAGCATACTCCAATGGTTTAACACCTGGTCGCGCCAGTTGCTGTGTTTTTGGCTCCAGCAACTGTGACTGTTCTCAGGGTAAAAGGTCTGGACAAAAAGCAGCGACTTGGTGATCTGGGTAGAGGTCAACCATGCTTGCCCTACTGTAGGCGGAACTGGGGGACTGGGTGAGGGCGAGTCTCGGAGGAACCAACACATCCCAATTTGAACACTCTGCCAGGTCCATTAGAGTGACACTCCCAACATCTCGGAAATGGGTCCTTCAAAATGGGTCGCCAAACTCCCACATGCCGCAAAGACACACTCCTTTTATTGGGTGGGTTGACTGCAACGGGAAACCGACTTAAGAACAAAGGCAACCGGACACCATACTTCTTGTTGAACTTGCGGGGGTGCATCAGGGCATCTCCGGGCCCCCTCCTCTTTTCACTGGCCCTCACCCCGCCTTGACTGCTGCGGCGACTTCTCACCGACCTGTGCCTTTCCTAACAGCATCTTGGCCGGCGACGCTTGGGTGGCAGCCTGCTGCCTGGCAGCGCCTTCAGTCGGTCGCCGCTGGCCTCCAACTGGCGACTATGACAAAGTGAGCTTGTTGCTGCTTCCCACGTTCTGTTTCGTTCCACCTGGGGTCCCCAATGCCAGCGACTGCTTTGCTTCACCGAGGGAACAGCTGCAATGACAATGGCGTCGGCCTGTTTGGTCAGTCTTGCAAGTTTGGCTTCACATGCTTGACCGACAGGACAGCTGCAATGACAATTGTGCTAACCCGGCCTTAAAGGTCTATGCTGCCAGCGCGGCTTCACATGCTTGACCGATGGCACAGCTGCAATGACAGCTGCGCAACCCGGCCTCTACGGTCAAGGTCTGGCGAGCAGCTGTCGACAAACGGAGAAAACGGAAGCAGTTGTCCACTTGGCAACGGTCAAGAAGCTGCAGCTCTTGAATCGCCATGGCATCGGGCAGACAACCTGCCACTGGCTTAGAATGTGTCTTCTTGATTTGGCACAACCTGCGTAAGTCTTGCTACGTGGATCCCAATGGAAGATGCATGGGCGGGCCCGGTTTACACCCAGCTGTGCGCTGCGATGCGGGTCCACGCGCCCACTCAGTCGCCAGGATCAGCCAGTTCTTGCTTCGTGCATTGCTTTGCAAAGGTCTGGCGAGCAGCTGTGGACAAACGGAGAATAAGGAAGCTGCACACCTTCATCATGTTGTTCCCACGGCCCAGTGCATGCTTGGGGCCAGGTTTGCACGTTGGTGGCATTGCACTTTGCGGGCCTTGGATTTTGGCTTGAGGCACAGGAATTCTGGCCCCCCAATCAGCTCTCAGTCTGAGTCTAGCTTGATCCTGGACGCTGCATTTGCCTTGGCCCCCATGATGCCTAAATGCCGCTGTGCGGAAACATGTTTAAGCTACAAGCCTCTGCTGTGCGACAAGGGCGGGCAAGTCTCTGCTAAACTGCGAAATGCTGCGAAGGTGCCAGGATGCCTCTCTGAGGCAACCGAGGCAAGGAACATGCGTTAGTTTGAAAAAGGCACCCCTCTACGAGCGTTCCAAGTTCGAGGCATGGGCGTTTGTCTGGGCCCTGCAGCTAGTGCACCGCATCGGGCAGACAACCTGCCACTGGCTTAGAATGTGTCTTCTTGATTTGGGACAACCTGCGTCAGCCTTGCGACGTGGATCCCAATGGAAGATGCATGGGCGGGCCCGGTTTACACCCAGCTGTGCGCAGCGATGCAGGTCCGCGCGCCCACTCAGTCGCCAGGCTCAGCCAGTTCTTGCTTCGCGCATTGCTTTGCAAAGGTCTGGCGAGCAGCTGTCGACAAACGGAGAAAACGGAAGCAGTTGTCCACTTGGCAACGGTCAAGAAGCTGCAGCTCTTGAATCGCCATGGCATCGGGCAGACAACCTGCCACTGGCTTAGAATGTGTCTTCTTGATTTGGCACAACCTGCGTAAGTCTTGCTACGTGGATCCCAATGGAAGATGCATGGGCGGGCCCGGTTTACACCCAGCTGTGCGCTGCGATGCGGGTCCACGCGCCCACTCAGTCGCCAGGATCAGTCAGTTCTTGCTTCGTGCATTGCTTTGCAAAGGTCTGGCGAGCAGCTGTGGACAAACGGAGAATAAGGAAGCTGCACACCTTCATCATGTTGTTCCCACGGCCCAGTGCATGCTTGGGGCCAGGTTTGCACGTTGGTGGCATTGCACTTTGCGGGCCTTGGCTTTTGGCTTGAGGCACAGGGATTCTGGCCCCCCAATCAGCTCTCAGTCTGAGTCTAGCTTGATCCTGGACGCTGCAATTGCCTTGGCCCCCATGATGCCTAAATGCCGCTGTGCGGAAAAATGTTTAAGCTAAGCCACGCATCTCTACAAGCCTCTGCTGTGCGACAAGGGCGGGCAAGTCTCTGCTAAAGGCTGCGAAATGCTGCGAAGGTGCCAGGATGCCTCTCTGAGGCAGCCGAGGCAAGGAACATGCGCCAGTTTGAAAAAGACACCCCTCTACGAGCGTTCCAAGTTCGAGGCATGGGCGTTTGTCTTGGCCCTGCAGCTAGTGCGCCGCGTCACTGTGCAGTTGTCCACTTGGCAACGGTCAAGAAGCTGCAGCTCTTGAATCGCCATGGCATCGGGCAGACAACCTGCCACTGGCTTAGAATGTGTCTTCTTGATTTGGCACAACCTGCGTGAGCCTTGCTACGTGGATCCCAATGGAAGATGCATGGGCGGGCCCGGTTTACACCCAGCTGTGCGCAGCGATGCAGGTCCGCGCGCCCACTCAGTCGCCAGGCTCAGCCAGTTGTTGCTTCGCGCATTGCTTTGCAAAGGTCTGGCGAGCAGCTGGCGACAAACAGAGAAAAAGGAAGCAGTTGTCCACTTTAGAACGGTCAAGAAGCTGCAGCTCTTGAATCGCCATGGCATGCCATGGCATCGGGCAGACAACCTGCCACTGGCTTAGAATGCGTCTTCTTGATTTGGCACAACCTGCGTGAGCCTTGCTACGTGGATCCCAATGGAAGATGCATGGGCGGGCCCGGTTTACACCCAGCTGTGCGCAGCAATGCAGGTCCGCGCGCCCACGCAGTCGCAGGCTCAGTTCTTGCTTCGCGCATTAAGGTCTAGCGAGCAGCAGTCGACAAACGGAGAAAAGGAAGCTGCACACCTTCATCATGTTGTTCCCGGGGTCCATTGCGTGCTTTGGGCCAGGTTTGCACATTGGTGGCGTTGCACTTTGTGTGCCTTTGGTTGAGGAACAGGGCCCGGTCATGGATTAGTATGGTTTAGTTGGCGGGGTTGACGCTATGGCGAGCCGACACTCAAGGGTCAGGCCTACTTGCTAGCAATTCTATGTTCAGCATCACCCCGGGAGGAGTACAGCTGGGTCAGAAGGCATGGAAGCTGTGCAACTGCAAAGAACAAATGGCACCAGTACGTCAGCCGCCGCCATGCACCTCCACACACATCCACGCTTGGGCGCGTAAGCCCTGAGGGAAAACACGGCGAAGCTGTCCCCAGCAATCTGGACTCCCGGCGGAAACATTGCTTCCGGCCGGCTTGGTGTTCTTGTTGCGTGACACACATCCTCGCCGATCCTTGGAGTTCCTTTGGCACGGCTCCTGCGCGCAGACCGCAGCCAAATCAGGAGCGGCCTAAGATGGTTTCGAACAAACCTTGCGTTCGGGGCAACCACATGCGCAGTTGGCGTGATCCTGGCAGCCCCTCATTGAAAGGCCGCCAGGCCTCAGCCACGCTCACTTTTGAGGCAGCAGATCTGCCTTGTCATTGGCTGTGGGCAGGTCTCTGGCTGATTGCCCCAGGCACTTAGTCACCAAACGGAAGAATCACACCGACCCGCGAGCTTGGGCTGTCTTGAAAAAACGCGCGAAGGTTCTGCGGACTCGCGCGCTATACTACGGGGAATCCGCGGACGCCTGCTGCCAGGCGCTTCCGCAGGGCTGCGGAAGCGCCTGGCCAGCTTTGCCCCTGCGCGCGCATGTGCTCTGAAACTGCAAATATGATTCTGCGCTCATCCATTTGGTGAGCCATTCATTGGGCAAGTCGTCCACCCCACAACGCTCTTTTTGACTTTACATGTGGAAATTGTGAGGTACTTCTGCACAGGCAACGATATTTGGCTGCCATGAGACCAGTGACAGTCTGGCAGTCTTTGCCCGGATGGTGCGTGTAACGACGCCTGCTTGATCTCGTGGGGACTCATGCCATTTTTGCGCAGCAAGCACATCCAACGAGGATGGTCGCAAGACTGAGCGAGCGGGCAAGAAGTTCACCCACCAGGATCAGTTTGAATACGGTTGCGCACGAAAATGCTCTCTCCGATTCCGATCACACGCCATCTGAAACACGCGATCTTAGCAACCAGGTGTCTCTAGATCTGGAGCCAAAGGCCACGAACATCAACAGCGCCAACTGGCTTCTCAATTCTACAGCATTTGCCCATGCTTCAACTCACTTGCTGCAGGGCATTCCAGAGCAGGCACCTGCCTGCCGAGACATGCCTCGCTGCGCCTTCCGTCGCGGAAGCTTCCGCCGCGAGCGTTGAGCTGCAAGCTTTGCAAGCAAAAGCATCACACAGGTGCAAGGTCCAGCAAGCAGCGTTGGGGCCCTGATTCCAAATAGGAAATACTGCCCCGAGTTGCTGCAAATAGCTTGCAAGAGGTGTCTGGCAAAGTGCTAGGGGAAATCATAGGTTACAGCTTTACAGGTTTCACCTCGCTCGGCTAGAATCGGATGGATGTGTGGGCTGAAGGCAAATGCCTAATCAGCCCATTTTGCAGGAATGCTGGGACTGCCTGTTGCGACTTGTTGTGTTCCAAACGAGTTCCATCTGACTGCTGTTCCATCTGACTGCTGTTACAAGAGGCGCATCTGCTGAAAGAAGGCGCGTCCTTTGCGGCTTCCCAAACTGCAGGTCTCCCTCCTTGCGCGCCAAGCAAGCCGCTTGCGCAAAGCAGCTGCGCATGTAACCTCTCCGACTGGCTATGAGAAAGTCGGAAATATCATTAGCGACCTCGGACACATGTTTTGCTTTTGCGTGCAGACCGGGAAGTTGAAAAGGTGGCGCGCGGACTGTCACCGAGTGAATCGAGACGACGCATGCCGTTAGTCCTGCACAGGCAGAGGGCGTTCTCCTGCCGAACATGACCAATGTGGCCATGAGCCGGGCCAAAGTTTAATATGGGGCAAGCTGGAAGAGCATGGAAGATGGAACAGGACTCACAGCTGCGGAGTCCGACACGGAGCTACAGCTCAGGCCTACTCTAAGGAAACACTGCCTCAATCCAGAGAATACAAACGCAACGAGCAGACCAGCAAATGCTGCTCACTGTCGAGCCACATTAGGGAGTGACAAACAAGTGCAAAAGTTGAGCTCTACGGACTGAAGGCTTGCGTAGTGGCTCTCAGGTTTCGCGCACATTTGATGTATAGCAGTTCTTGACTGGCTTATGATCTACCATATCTACCCTGGAGGTTGCGAGCTGTGTGCGATATACGGCTGGCGGTTTGTATTTGGCCGTCAGTGCAAGGCTAGCTTGCTTTCAAGAGCCAGCAAGCGCATGCCCGAGGATCAACTGGAGACCTAAACCGCAGAAAGACTGTAGTCAGCACGCGCGATTCTGACTTGTGTGCTTCCACGATGTGCTTCTTCGATTTGCGCCAGCAATTGTCCGAAAGGCGCTCAGAGCTGGGTATGGGGGCGAGGCGTGAGGGACAGGTGCAAACGCACTGCGCGCGAGCCGCAACGACATGCCGACAAGAACTTCAGATTGGCGGCCGGAATCCGTGCGGCAAAATTCGAACGAGTTTTCAACCATTCCCACGCAATCCGTGCAGGTAATAAACGAACATGTGAAGACGCTGCAAGCCCTTGCCTTGGCCCCCATGCCTAAATGCCGCTCTGCGGAAAAGTGTTTAAGCCAAGCCACGCATCTCTACAAGCCTCTGCTGTGCGACAAGGGCGGGCAAGTCTCTGCTAAAGGTTGCGAAGGTGCCAGGGTGCCTCTCTGAGGAAACCGAGGCAAGGAACATGCACCAGTTTGCAAAAGGCACCTCTCTACAGCGTTCCAAGTTCGAGGCATGGGCGTTTGTCTTGGCCCTGCAGCTAGTGCGCCGCGTCACTGTGCAGTTGTCCACTTGGCAACGGTCAAGAAGCTGCAGCTCTTGAATCGCCATGGCATGCCATGGCATCGGGCAGACAACCTGCCACTGGCTTAGAATGTGTCTTCTTGATTTGGCACAACCTGCGTGAGCCTTGCTACGTGGATCCCAATGGAAGATGCATGGGCGGGCCCGGATTACACCCAGCTGTGCGCAGCGATGCAGGTCCGCGCAAGGTCCCAGCAAGCCACAGCAAAAAGAGTGTTGGGGCCCTGATTCCAAATAGGAAATACTGCCCCGAGTTGCTGCAAATAGCTTGCAAGAGGTGTCTGGCAAAGTGCTAGGGGAAATCATAGGGTACAGCTTTACAGGTTTCACCTCGCTCGGCTAGAATCGGATGGATGTGTGGGCTGAAGGCAAATGCCTAATCAGCCCATTTTGCAGGAATGCTGGGACTGCCTGTTGCGACTTGTTGTGTTTCAAACGAGTTCCATCTGACTGCTGTTCCATCTGACTGCTGTTACAAGAGGCGCATCTGCTGAAAGAAGGCGCGTCCTTTGCGGCTTCCCAAACTGCAGGTCTCCCTCCTTGCGCGCCAAGCAAGCCGCTTGCGCAAAGCAGCTGCGCATGTAACCTCTCCGACTGGCTATGAGAAAGTCGGAAATATCATTAGCGACCTCGGACACATTTGTTGCTTTTGCGTGCAGACCGGAAAGTTGAAAAGGTGGCGTGCGGACTGTCACCGAGTGCCTCGAGACGACGCATGCCGTTAGTCCTGCACAGGCAGAGGCGATGATCTCTCCGACGCAGTCCGCGCGCGTCCAGGCTCAGCCAGATACTTGCATCGCGCAATGCATTGCAAAGGTCTGGTGAGCACTGTCCGACAAACGAGAAAAAAGGAAGCAAGTTGTCACACTTTTGGTCAAACGGATCCTCGAAGACTGCAGCTCTTGAATTATTCTTCACAATGCTGCCATGCATCGGGCAGACACAACACAACCTGCCACTGGCTTGGAATGTGTCTTCTTGATTTGGCACAACCTGCGTCATCCTTGCTACGTGGATCCCAATGGAAGATGCATGGGCGGGCCCGGTTTACACCCAGCTGTGCGCAGCGATGCAGGTCCGCGCGCTCACTCAGTCGCCAGGCTCAGCCAGTTGTTGCTTCGCGCATTGCTTTGCAAAGGTCTGGCGAGCAGCTGTGGACAAACGGAGACTAAGGAAGCTGCACACCTTCATCATGTTGTTCCCACGGCCCAGTGCATGCTTTGGGCCAGGTTTGCACGTTGGTGGCATTGCACTTTGCGGGCCTTGGATTTTGGCTTGAGGCACAGGGATTCTGGCCCCCCAATCAGCTCTCAGTCTGAGTCTAGCTTGATCCTGGACGCTGCATTTGCCTTGGCCCCCATGATGCCTAAATGCCGCTCTGCGGAAAAATGTTTAAGCCAAGCCACGCATCTCTACAAGCCTCTGCTGCGCGACAAGGGCGGGCAAGTCTCTGCTAAAGGCTGCCAAATGCTGCGAAGGTGCCAGGATGCCTCTCTGAGGCAACCGAGGCAAGGAACATGCGCCAGTTTGAAAAAGGCACCCCTCTACGAGCGGTCCAAGTTCGAGGCATGGGCGTTTGTCTTGGCCCTGCAGCTAGTGCGCCGCGTCACTGTGCAGTTGTCCACTTGGCAACGGTCAAGAAGCTGCAGCTCTTGAATCGCCATGGCATCGGGCAGACAACCTGCCACTGGCTTAGAATGAGGTTGAATGTGTCTTCTTGATTTTGCACAACCTGCGTGAGCCTTGCTACGTGGAACCCAATGGAAGATGCATGGGCGGGCCCGGTTTACACCCAGCTGTGCGCAGCGATGCAGGTCCGCGCGCCCACTGAGTCGCCAGGCTCAGCCAGTTCTTGCTTCGCGCATTGCTTTGCAAAGGTCTGGCGAGCAGCTGTCGACAAACGGAGAAAAAGGAAGCAGTTGTCCACTTGGCAACGGTCAAGAAGCTGCAGCTCTTGAATCGCAATGGCATCGGGCAAACAACCTGCCACTGGCTTAGAATGTGTCTTCTTGATTTGGCACAACCTGCGTTATCCGTGCTACGTGGACCCCAATGGAAGATGCATGGGCGGGCCCGGTTTACACCCAGCTGTGCGCAGCGATGCAGGTCCGCGCGCCCACTCAGTCGCCAGGATCAGCCAGTTGTTGCTTCGCGCATTGCTTTGCAAAGGTCTGGCGAGCAGCTGTGGACAAACGGAGAATAAGGAAGCTGCACGCCTTCATCATGTTGTTCCCACGGCCCAGTGCATGCAAAATTGTTTAAGCCAAGCCAGGCATCTCTACAAGCCTCTGCTGTGCGACAAGGGCGGGCAAGTCTCTGCTAAAGGCTGCCAAATGCTGCGAAGGTGCCAGGATGCCTCTCTGAGGCAACCGAGGCAAGGAACATGCGCCAGTTTGAAAAAGGCACCCCTCTACGAGCGTTCCAAGTTCGAGGCATGGGCGTTTGTCTTGGCCCTGCAGCTAGTGCGCCGCGTCACTGTGCAGTTGTCCACTTGGCAACGGTCAAGAAGCTGCAGCTCTTGAATCGCCATGGCATCGGGCAGACAACCTGCCACTGGCGTAGAATGTGTCTTCTTGATTTGGCACAACCTGCGTCATCCTTGCTACGTGGATCCCAATGGAAGATGCATGGGCGGGCCCGGTTTACACGCAGCTGTGCGCAGCGATGCAGGTCCGCGTGCCCACTCAGTCGCCAGGATCAGCCAGTTCTTGCTTCGCGCATTGCTTTGCAAAGGTCTGGCGAGCAGCTGTGGACAAACGGAGAATAAGGAAGCTGCACACCTTCATCATGTTGTTCCCACGGCCCAGCGCATGCTTTGGGCCAGGTTTGCACGTTGGTGGCATTGTACTTTGCGGGCCTTGGCTTCTGGCTTGAGGCACAGGGTTTCTGGCCCCCCAATCAGCTCTCAGTCTGAGTCTAGCTTGATCCTGGACGCTGCATTTGCCTTGGCCTCCACGATGCGTAAATGCCGCTGTGCGGAAAAATGTTTAAGCTAAGCCACGCATCTCTACAAGCCTCTGCTGTGCGACAAGGGCGGGCAAGGCTCTGCCACAGGCTGCTGCTGTTACAAGAGGCGCATCTGCTGAAAGAATGCGCGTCCCTTGCGGCTTCCCAAACTGCAGGTCTCCCTCCTTGCGCGCCAAGCAAGCCGCTTGCGCAAAGCCACTGCGCACGTAACCTCTCCGACTGGCTATAAGAAAGTCGGAAATATCATTAGCGACCTCGGACACATTTGTTGCTTTTGCGTGCAGACCAGGAAGTTGAAAAGGTGGCGCGCGGACTGTCACCGAGTGAATCGAGACGACGCATGCCGTTAGTCCTGCCACTGGCTTAGAATGTGTCTTCTTGACTTGGCACAACCTGCGTGAGCCTTGCTACGTGGATCCCAATGGAAGATGCATGGGCGGGCCCGGTTTACACCCAGCTGTGCGCAGCGATGCAGGTCCGCGCGCCCACTCAGTCGCCAGGCTCAGCCAGTTCTTGCTTCGCGCATTGCTTTGCAAAGGTCTAGCGAGCAGCTGTCGACAAACGGAGAAAAGGAAGCTGCACACCTTCATCATGTTGTTCCAGGGGTCCATTGCATGCTTTGGGCCAGGTTTGCACATTCGTGGCATTGCAGCTTTGTGTGCCTTTGGTTGAGGAACAGGGCCTGGTCATGGATTAGTATGGTTTAGTTGGCGGGGTTGACGCTATGGCGAGCCGACACTCAAGGGTCAGGCCTACTTGCTAGCAATTCTATGTTATGCAGGTCCGCGCGCCCACTCAGTCGCCAGGATCAGCCAGTTCTTGCTTCGCGCATTGCTTTGCAAAGGTCTGGCGAGCAGCTGTCGACAAACGGAGAATAAGGAAGCTGCACTCATTCATCATGTTGTTCCCGGGGCCCAGTGCGTGCTTTGGGCCAGGTTTGCACGTTGGTGGCATTGCACTTTGCGGGCCTTGGCTTCTGGCTTGAGGCACAGGGTTTCTGGCCCCCCAATCAGCTCTCAGTCTGAGTCTAGCTTGATCCTGGAC